TGATGACTCCTGTCTGATGACCGTTTCCTGTCTGATGACTCCTGTCTGATGACCGTTTCCTGTCTGATGACCGTTTCCTGTCTCCACAGCACAAACGAGCCTCTGGGGTTGGGCTGGCTTTGGCTCAGAGGTTTCTAAAATCCCTCATCATATTGGATTCTAACGTAGAAAGCCAGTTTATGCCGTTTTGTTTAACATTAATGATCTGCTGTAATTGTTATTTTAGTTGAGTAAATAGAATTAAAACACGAACTCTTGAACACACTCAGTAAAGCCTGAGCTTCAGACCAAAAGTCAGACCTCCGTGGTAGAAAATAAAAGTGTAAAAAAACTCACTAGAAATAGATACTGTAGACCGTAGATGATGGAGTTTATCGTCAGCACGGGCTTCCAGTCCTCTCTGAACAAATAAAACAAATGTTAAAATGAAAACGCTGCTCCGGACATGATCTACCACTAAAACTCACCGTAGGATGTTTAAACAGACGTTCCCCTCCAGGTCGATGTTGGGGTGATACACCATTGTCTCACACTTGACCTTGGGGGGGTCGTGGGGGTAACCCTGTCCTACCTGAAACACAGAAACCACCACTCAGAGCTCACCTGCAGCACCTGCAGAGGAACCCAACACTAAAACGAAGAGCAGAGAGGCTCACCTTGAAGCTGAACACAAACTTCCCTCCTTTATAAAAGCCCTGCGGAGAAAAACACAGTTCAGCTGCCTCGTCTTCCTCACAGCCGACGTCTTCATCAACACTGAGACACACGTAGACCTGACCCGGTTCTGACTCAACACCAACCCACACCACAAACAAGGGGCAGATATGATAAGATTTTTTCTTCTTCTGCTACCTTTCATTTTATGACGTGTTTTTTTTTCCCCATTTGGTTTCTAAATTGTTTTTGTGTTTTAAATATGAAATGAATAAAAATGACAAACAAACAAACAAGTCCTGTTTACCATTTAATAGGAGAACTGCAAACATTCAGTTCTATTAAAACCTGATCCAGTCCTCAATCTGTCCCTCAACCAGTCCTGATCCAGTCCCGATCAGGTCCTGATTCAGCCCTGATCAGATCCTGATTCAGCCCTGATCAGGTCCTGATCCAGTCCTGATCCGGTCCTGATCAGGTCCTTATCCGGTCCTGATCAGGTCCTGATTCAGCCCTGATCGGGTCCTGATTCAGCCCTGATCAGGTCCTTATCCAGTCCTGATCAGGTCCTTATCCAGTCCTGATCAGGTCCTGATTCAGCCCTGATTCAGCCCTGATCCAGCCCTGATCCAGCCCTGATCAGGTCCTGATCCAGCCCTGATCAGGTCCTTATCCAGTCCTGATCCAGTCCTGATCAGGTCCTGATTCAGCCCTGATCCAGTCCTGATTCAGCCCTGATCAGGTCCTGATCCAGCCCTGATCCAGTCCTGATTCAGCCCTGATCATGTCCTGATTCAGTCCTGATCAGGTCCTCGTCTCTTCCCAAACATAGGTTAGGTTTATTGTCATATGATCAACACAATGAAATGCTCAGGACGAGAAGAACCGCCTCGACTCGCCAAACAACAACAAGAAACACCAAACATGCAAGAAAAATACAAAAACAAAATCCAGACGTTCCTACGGTCCATAAAACTGGTTCTGGATCAGTGGTTCTTCAAACCTGTTAAAGCTCTTTCAGAGTATTTGTTTATGGACCTGGTGGCTGTTTGTTTGTTTGTTAACAAACAAATGTTTTTGTTCCCAGAGTTGTTCTGTGTTTCTTAAAAACCTAGTCCTGACATACGTTTTGATTTCCAGATGTTTTCAGACTCATCCATAAATTAACCAGAATTTACAGAGTTCATCAAGCTCTTTGTTTATTTGTACGTTAAACCAAACAATCATTTTAGTAAACAACAATCACATTTTGCTTAAAATAATGTCGGGTGACTTTTAGAAAAAGCTGCTCGTTTAGACTCATATATATATATATATATATATATATATATATATATATATATATATATATATATATATATATATATTAAAACGCTTTCATTAAAGACGTATGTTTTAATAAAGGTTAATTTTCCCCAATAATTTTTTTAAATGTTTAACAGACCCACCCTGACCTAATCTAACACCCCACCACCTGCTAACTCTGACTTTAACTCAGGTCTTCCGGCTGTCTCGTGTTCTGGGTGAGCGTGCGAGCAGACGTCCCGCAGCTCGAATCAAACGCACCTCGTCCGGTGAGATGATGAGTCTGAAGTTGAGGAGGTCGTCGTCATCAGGGAAGCTGATCTCACACGTCTTTGGCAAATTCAACTCATTGATGTCTGAAACAAAACAACAAGCACTCAGAGAGATCGGACTTTACACTGGGCCCAGAACCAAACATCTGATCTCTGGGAGTCTGAGACCAGCGAGGCACACTTAAAAAACTAAACTAATGTAGGTCAGTGGTTCTGAAAGCTGGGCCGGACCCCTCTTTGGGTTGGGAAACACCAAGTGAGGGTTCATGGAAATGGAATTAAATTCAGAAATGAGCCAGTAGCATCACTTTCACAGCATCTGGATGTGAAACGCTTTGTTAGGTTCAGTTTACACTCGTTAACCAGCGGTCGGGTCACGAGTCTCTGCGGCTTTTATTCTGAAAGCTGAAAAAAAAAAAAAAAAAAAAAAAAAGACCACCGTTCTGGGTCGACCACCTGCTAACGGAAACATACCTTTACAGTTACGGTTCTGAGATGTTCCGTAGAGACCTACTTATTGCTCGTGTCTCCTTCCAACCATGTCTCTTCCAAAATGAAGGATATTGGAGTTCTGTAAGTGTTGAAGCAGCTTCTAAAACTGCAGAATCTTTAAACGTGGTCAGCATCAGCCGATGAAACGGCCCGAGACGACCCGATGGATCCTGTTCAGCCAGGTGACATTCTGCCGCAAAGCTTTCTCTTTTGGACGTCTCCTCCTGAACTCGTCAGAGGGTTGGGGTCTTATTCCAGGAGTTGGATGGGTTTAGAAGGCTCAGTCAGCTGCTTACACAGGTAAACAGCCCCCGTTACCATGGTTACGCATCATAAAAAGGATAAATACCACCAGGAATCACTAAGCCAGCTCATGAGTGTGTTACAGGTGTTACACAGGTGTGAGAGGTGCTGATGTCACCTCATCCATCAGCTGAGCTGCTGTCAGAAGGCAGGGTCAGGCTGAGGAACCAGGTCCTGCTCTGTCCAGTTCCCAGAGGGCCGGTCAGGTGGGGGGCACCTGGTGGGACAGGTGTGTCTGACAGGTGTGGGGTCAGTGTGAGCAGGTGTAAAGCAGGCAGGATGACCTCTCTGCTCGTGGCTTAATGAGCGACAGGCCCTCTGAGCTGGTTATCAGCCCATCAGTGAGCTCCTGACCTGAAGTTCTCCACCAGCAGAGCTGACACAGCAGCTTCGCTCCATCCAGCCTGAAAGAGCCCCCAGAAAACAGACCCGGGTCCAGCTGCTCCGGGGTTAACTCTAATAAACGAGCTTCTGATAAAAACCACGCTCGTGTGAAAACATCTGGCTCTGAACCCGGCCCACCACTGGAGCGCCTCAGCTTTGTTTTCAAATGCAGCCGCAGCTAACCGCCGTTAGCTTCAGGCTAGCTCTGTAGCTGTTAGCCTGCGCGAGCTCTGACCGCAGCCGGCCTCGGTTCACCGTTCCCGGGCACCGAGCTGCAGTGTTCCCCGGCGTGTTGTTGGAGGCCGGGGAGCCGCCGGGCAGGGCAGCTGAGCGGGGGTCGGTGGGGTTAAACCTGCCTACCTTTCTGTATTCGGAGCTGGGCCGCGCTGGCTTTCTTCCCCCCGGCTCCGGCTCTGTTTCCTCCAGCAGATTCCTCGTCTTTCTTCTGCTGCTTCAGGGAGAACAGCTTAATCATCTTCGCCCGTTCGGTGATCTGACCCTAACCTTCGTGTCCCTGTGGTGCGGGCGCTCCGTGTGGGTCCTGAATGTTTGGAGAGTCCGATGGGTCCGAACGGCACCGCGATGTGGACGGAGCCGGTGCGTCTCGACTAATCACACCGAGCTAACGTAGCCTGTTAGCCCGCAGGAGAGGCCGGGCGGGGAGGAGGGTGACGCCGCGTGGCTAACAGTCGCTGCGTCAGAGCGCCGCCATGTTGGAGAGGGAAAGGTGTCCCTGCAGGATGATAAAAAATCAAACCTCCCCACTCTTCAAATCAGTTTTATTTAAATTATCACGCACAGATAAGAAGGTATAACTGGTCTGAACAGAAAACGTTATGATTTAGCTTAAAACAACAAGTGTGTTGTTCTTCTAATTGTGGTGTTTACTAATTACTGCTGCAGGGTGATATTTAATGAGACTGGAATTATAGGAGCAGATCATTGTTTTTTTTTTAAAAAAAACAAGCTGATGTTGAGAAAAAGCTCTTAGAAGCTCAAAACAAAACTGAAATAAAACTGTAATCAGTTTCTGACTAATTTTGATAAACAAGTCTGGTTGTTTGAAACCTTGTAACATTTACAATTTTATTATTTAGATCAAATTGGAGTCCCGGGACCGCCAGGGGTCCACAGATTGTAGCCTGGGGTCAGAAAAATAAACTAAAATGTAATTTTGTCATATAAATTAACAACATACATGGGGACCAATGCACCGATAAAACAAACATACTTAATATTACCATGACAATTAGTGATTATAATGGCAGTAAGTTTGTTTTAATCAGCAGGAGGCTTTTGAGGGAGTCCCTGGACATTTTTCTCCCCATACTTTAAAAGTTTGAGAACCCCTTGATTTAATACCCTTGATAGCCAACACTGTGTCACATTTGTCAGTTTATTTACTAAACTCACATAAAAGTTAATGATGACATAAAATTAAAAACAAATTGTGTTTATAATGCTTCACAATGCAACACACTTATAAGATAAGACAGAACTTTATTGATCCCGCAGGAAATTGTTGTGCCAGAGTTTCAGTACAACGTAACATATAAGGAATCACACAAGATATAAAAAATAACAGAGAATATAAAAATACCATCATTAAGTTCTAAAACAAGTCAGGTGCAAACAGAAACATTCAAATGTTTATTGTGGTGCAGGATTAATTGTATTGTGTAGAAAGGTGAGGAGCTGAAGTCTGAAGGACTTCATGTGTTGTTCTGTGGAGCATCTCGGTGGTCTCAGTCTACGACTGAAGGTGCTGCGGTAAGAGTCCAGTGTGGCATACAGGAGGTGGGGTGTAAGTATTTAAATAGCGTTTCAATATTTAAATAGCTGTAAGTATTTAAATGTGAATATTTTGAGTTAATCAGATTGTTTGCTTTTACAGCAAATTCAGAGTAATCTGAAAACAGATTTTTTTATAGAAGAGTTTGTGTTTCTTTTTACTTTCCTTTAAAGTCTTATATTTTAAACTCTTAATGCCTAAAGTAGTGATGGGATTTTTATTAGTTTATTGCATTTTATTTAGTTGATTTTATTTTGTGGCAATTCTGTTTGCACATACTTTTTTTGTAATTAATAAAATCCCTTTTTATCAGCTTTAAATCTAGGTTTGAATAAAACAAACGTGTTTATATTCCTTTAAGGTGTGTATTCCTTTCTGTATTGTGTTATCGTTGTCACTTCAATATATTTGATTAAGATTTTACCGTATCAGATATACTGCATGTCAGGCAGGCTCCCTCTATCACTGTTTTTAAGTCTCACTTAAATACCCACTTTTATTCCCAGGCTTTTGACACTGTGTGAGTTGATTTTAACTTCTATAATTTTTGTCATTTAGTTACCTCTGTGGATCTTTGTATTTTATCCTGTGTGCTTTGCTTGTTTTGTTTATTCTGTACAGCACTTTGGTCGGCCTTGTTGCTGTTTTAAGTGCTTTATAATTAAAGTGGTATGCTGCAAAATATATAGCTTGCTAAAATTTGATTAAACTACATCACCCAAAATCCAGTTCTGTGCCATGACGTCACTACGCAGAGGTGGGGCATGCGCAGTCCCGTCCGTGTTTTATTTGCTGGGTTTATTTATTTATTTATTGGATTTTAATTTTTCCCTCGCGCTCGGAGGGTGAAGCGGCACCTGCAGTCACCTGTGTGATGTAATGAAGGAGGTGAAATGCGTCTCGCGGCAGAGCGGCAACAGAAAAGATCCACATCACGCACGACACGCAGCCAGCGCCACACAATAGACACGAGAACAAAAGCCGCGCGCAGCGCTCGGCTCTGTACGCATGTTACTACGCGGGGACTAGTTCCTGCGGAGGGTTACACGTGAGCGTGTATCTGAGTGAGAGTGAGGCGTTTGGATGTTGTGTGTGTTTTTGTGAGTGTTTGAGTGCGTTCTTCTGAAGCCTCGCGGGAGGAAGAGGAGGAGAACGTGCAGAGGGGAGAGAGGGAGGCAGACTCGCACTGCAGACGGACGGAGAGAGGGGAGTGAATGGGCACGACTCATCCAGCGGCTTTGCGCCCTTCACCTCATCCCGATCGATCCGTTTGGTAATCGAGACGTTCCGAACCCGCGCGGTCCGCGAGGCTGGCCCGACCCCGGAGTCCGGAGGAGCGATGGGACGCAGATGAAGCAGCCCGGAGCGGAGAGCAGCAGCCCGGCGGAGGAACAAACAAGGAAGCGCTGAGCTGAAGCTAACGGCTAACTGGGGCTGGAACCGATTCTGATGATCGAACGAGGAGCATGCGAGCCGATAGGAAGAGGTGAGAGGCCGCCGTGCGTGGGCGCGTGTCCGCGGCCGGGTGCTGCCCGCCCGCTGCGCCCCAACGCCGGGATACTGAAGGAGGAAGCGAGCGCAGGGGGCGGACGAGCTGCTAGCATGCTAACACGTTAGCACGCCTGTCGCTGCTTTTGCTCCAGGTGTGGGGCTGTGGGGATGGATGTGGTGCCATACAGGTGTGGTGGGTAGTTTCACTGGCACATTACAGCGCGTGCAGCCGCCGCAGGTGACTGAATACAAGTAACTGTGACAGCTGTGGCTGTTAGCCTTTAGGCTAACGCAGGCGTTCATCAATACTGCTGCTGGAGCTCCTCTGCTGCTAATCCAGTTAAGACACGAGGAAGTGAAAACAGCTGAAGAACATCTGTCTGTTTCCAGCTCCAAATCCAGATGTTGCACTGAGTTACCTGAAAACACCTGAGCTGGGCTGCTTTCTGCTGATGAATCAGCTGAAACCAACACCAGAACATCTGGTGAGCAGAGAACAGCTGGAATAATCGGTCCCTTCAGCTGCCTTCTTCAGAACCGAAGCAGTTCGGACCTTCAGGTCCATTGAAGCAGATTCTGTGGGTTGAGATAGTAAACAGGAAGTGAAGGTTGTAAAGTTCTTCATGTTTCTGTGAAGCAGACAAGATTCAAACCATGACCTGTGACCTCAGCTCAGCTCCACTCGGTTCTGCTGGGACGGTTCAGGAGTTGAGGAGAACCGCTGATGGACCTTTAGGAGAAGACTTGTCCTTTTCTTGAGGGAGGGTTCTAGCTTTTCTTGTCTGTCATGATTGGGCTGAAGTTTTGGACTGCAGCCGGGTCCGTTCAGCCCCAGAACTTTTCTAATTAAACGTTTCAATGGCTGCAGGATGAAGGCACTCTGTTCTGATCCATCAGCTCACAGACACAAAACCTTCAAAGGTGCTGGACGTTCCTCCCCTCTGGTTCTGGAACATGAGTTCTCAAAGGAAACTTTAGGTTTGTGTTCATCAGAACACTTTGTCTCGGAGCGTTGTAAGAACAGACGACCCGTTTGGATCGTGTTGGGGAGTTTCTGTGATCTCTGACGCTCCTGAACGTGTTTCCTGCTCAAAGGTTTCCATCATAAGCCTGACCCGTTTCGCACAGCGATGGTCCAAGGTCCGGTTCTGATGATGCTCGGGTCTGTCCACGTTCTCTGTAACTGACCTGCTTCCTGTTGGACATCTTTCAGCATTTCTTTTTGGATTCTCCTGAAAACATATTTCATGTTTAGTTTTAGATTCAGATTTTTGTTAAAAACCATTCTTATTTTTTCACGTTTTAAATTTCACTTTTATCCACAAAGTTGCTCCAAATTCAGTGAAACGTTAAAAGTTTTTAAAACGAACAGACACGTCTGCAGAGACACGACATGAACATTAACGAACGTTCGGGTCTAACGCCGCTGCAGTCGGCCTTACTTCACCTTTAGGCCTGGTCTCAGTCAGCAGCTGGAGTTTCCAGAAACACCAGCGTCACCTGAAGCAGCATCCAATCAGAAGTCTTCATTTATTCCCCCTGTCATCATGAGGCCCGCATCAACCCATCAGAACATCGTGGTTGCAGCCCGTCAGAATGAGCTGAAGCTCTGCCCATCAGAGCGGGTCTTTATTTAAACTCTGGGTGTTCTTCAGCTTGGACCCTGAAGACCTCCCTGAGGATCACACAGACCTCAGGTGGACTCCCACTTGGACCATCCTGACAGTGAAGCATGGAGGGGGGTGTCATGATGTGGGGCTGCAGAAACAACACGACTGCTGTTTGTTACAACAGACGTCTCATAATAACTGATACCATTTATTAATAATTCTTCAGCCTCACTGAGTGCGTTTGTAATTAACAGGTAACGACTTAGATGTCCCAGCTTTCCTCCAGGCCTTGAATGCAGCATGAATTTCTGACACTGAGGAGCTGAAGGAGTGTGCTGGTTTCTACCCAGTCTGTGCACGTCACATGGCGTGTCCTCTCAAACAGTTTATTCAGAAACCTTTAAGTGAGAGTGTGACGTCTGTGAGGGTAAAAACGAACCGGTGTGAAGCAGAGCCATGTCTGATTCATCTTTTTTGCAGTCTGAGGGGGCTTAACACGCCGCTCTGATGGATCCCACCAACCAAGTGTCTCGTCTTCCTGTCTCCAGCTGACTTGTTCGGGGATGTCGGGCAGTAAGGCGCTGGGCGGGGGGGCTGGCGGCGGCGCGAGGCGCAGGCGGACCCGGTGCCGGCGCTGCCAGGCCTGCATGAGGACGGAGTGCGGAGAGTGCCACTTCTGTAAGGACATGAAGAAGTTCGGAGGGCCCGGCCGGATGAAGCAGTCCTGCCTGCTGAGGCAGTGCACGGCGGTGAGCCCCTCACACACACACACACACAGAGCAGGGGGCGGGGCATGTGGGGGTTTTGGCGTTTAGGGTCAGGATAGTTTAATGCCTCGTGAGCGACTCGACAGATTTTAATGAAACTTTCAGAAGGCCATCACTGGACCAAAACAACCTGAAGCAAGATGGCTGCCACAGTTGGTTCACCTTAGTTTCCACAAAAATATTTCAAACTCAGAGAATTTAAAAAACACTGAGCTAAAGTTTGACATGGTAGTAGCTGAGGGTCATCCCCGACTCAGACTCTGAGTGCCAACAGATCAGAGTGTCGTTTTCAGGGTTTGACCAAAAACACTGGGTTAACACCTGGACCTGGACCGGCTTAACACTGGAACAAACCAGACTTGACCTAAACTACAGATCAGCTGGTCCAGGCTCAACGGCCCCGGTAGTTCGGATTTATTCCAACCAAAGTTTGCTGTTTTTTTTAAGCCTCAGTTGGTTTAACAGAACTTGTCTTCCTGACTGGTTCTGGGCCTGGTCAGAACTGGGTCATGTTAAGAGTTGAACTAAAACAAACAGCTCAGATAACCCTCCACACACCTTCAGACTCTGCAGCGTTTGTGAGGACTGGACCAGAACCCTGGTGCCGGGTCCATCCCTCTGTGAAGTCTTCTGGTCCTCACAGAGTCACACGCTCATCTCTGAAGGTGTGTTTGTGTGTGTTTGTGTGTCGAGTCTTCAAATAGCATCAGTGCGAGCTGGAGCCCAGCAGGCGACGTTGCTGGGTTTCCGTGGCAACCGGAGGATGTTGCCGGTGCTGCGATTGAGCTGGAGTTGGCTTTGATCCATCAGTGTGGTGAGGAAGGAGGCGCTGCTCCTACAGCTCAGGAGGAGATGCACTCATTTATCCGGGGGGGGGGGGGGGGGGGGGATTCACAATGACACAATTATTTAACTGGATTTTGATTTACATATTGTAAATATATATAATTTACTTTTTTTTTTTTT